AAAATAAATATTAATTATCCAATGATGAAATTTATAGAAATTTCAAATTGTATATTTTTACAAAATTTTTATGTGAGAAATTTTGTCTAAATTTGTCTCAAATGGTGAAATAATTTAGATAAAGTTTTAATAACAATAATTAATATCTATTTTTTTAAAAAAAAGAGAAAAATAAAAAATTTGGTTGAAAATATTTGATAATTATCCAAAGATGAGATTCTTAAAAATTTTAAATGGTAAATTTTTAAAAAATATCTGGGTGAGAAATTTTATCTAAATTTGTCTCAAATAGTGAAATAATTTAGATGAAGTTTCAATAAAAATAATAGTCATATTATTTTCTTTTCAACAAAAAAAAAAAGAATTTCTAAATAGGCTTAAAAGGTAGAAACTTTAGAAAGTCTAAAAATATGTTTTTAAATTTACCCAAATGGTGAAAAATTTAAAAATCAAACAAAAAATAAAAAATAAAGAGATTTTCTAAATAAGTCTAAATGGTGAAATTTTAAAAATTCAAAAGAGAAGATATTTTTAATTTGACTCAAATGGTGGAATAATTAGATATATTTTCAATAAAAAATAATAAATAATAATAAATAAATTTTTTTTGATGATGGAACCTTTTTAAGATATCAAATGAAATTCTTGAATACTTTTGAGGTGAAAAAATATTTTTTTAAAAGTTTTACTAGATTGATGAAGAATATTAAAAATTATTTCTAATATTTAATATAAAAACTTAAAATCATTAGAACCAAAACCCTATAATAAATTTAAAATAATATGGTACAATCCTGTAGATGAGCGTGTGGGGATATTATAACTTTTTTTATATGTAATTGAACTCCTGAATTCTGTTCTAATTTGTAGACCCGAACCTATTTTTTTAGAGACACTTAGTTAAGTTTATGATCTCCTTAAACTGATAAATTCTTTAAGTGATCAATCGCACTTAAGTGAAAAAAGATTGATTACGACTCTATCTATTTTGTTAAATCTAACCATAAATTTACGAATCTATATATTATTACAAAGCAAACAAGCTTAACCGGTTTAATATATGCAAATGGTCGACAACTATTGCACACGAAATCAACCCTGATAGAATGGGAGGGAGATCGTTTTCTTTTTCTTTATAATTTTATTAATTGATTTATGTATTTTGTGTCCACAAAATAAATGTGGAGCATCACATCCTATCCAAATATTGGATATGTACGCAATCTAGTCCACCAGCACTAGGCGAATTAAAGAGAAATGTTTTTGCTAGGGTGAAAAGGAGATGCATGTGTGGGAGAAGAAAGACAATGCTATTGATTGCTATTGCTTTGTATTTACTATGACTAGATTTGGATTCATTCGCGACAACATTTCGATGCGATTAGGTATCTTTTTGATGCAATTGCACGGGATGAATGGCTTTTTATTTCTGGGTAATGGGTGAGGTAAGCCACCACACCATGCTTTTGGCATTTTTGTAACATTGTTGTCATATTTTTTTATTTTTTTATTTAAAAATTAAATTAAATTATTTTTAATTTAAAAAATAACATTTAATTTTTAGCATATTATTATTTTGTCCAAATTGTACCCTTAAGTAATTAATATTTTTCTTTAAATGTCCCTTCAAAACCTTAAATTCTAATATAAATAAATAATAAATATATTCATTTAGAATTAGATAACTTTATAGCACTTAATAAATAAAATATTTATGTATAAATTAGTAATCAAATCTATAGTAAATAAAACAGTTGAGAGTTCAATATATATTTAAATTAAAAAAATAATTTGATATATTACTATCATTTTTATTATTTTTTATTTATCTTTTAAAAACTATTATTTGACATACAAATAATTTTAGTATTTTTTAATTACTCTCGTAAATGTCAAATAATCTAAAAATTTTATTATATACAAGTTTAATTTAATATCTTTAATGATTATTTTTTTACTATATTTTATTTCATCATAATTATTATTTTTATATTTATATATATCTTACTATTAAATTTAATTTTATTATTATAATATTTAATTTCATTACTTAATAATTAATTTTAATTTTATTATTATTTTTAATTTCATCAAAATTAATTTCATCATTGAAATGGATTCTAGCATCGTTGCCGGTCCTTCCTTTCCAACGAAATGGAGACCCAAATTATGGGAAGTGGCCACTCACCAGTCTCTATTTGTCATCACACGCCACTCATTTTCACCTCAACCCATCATCCCTTCGGTCTAGCTTTCTCCCTTATAAAAAAATAATAATAGAAGTCAAACGTGCTTCCCATTTCCCATTTGTCCCTCTCTTAATCCTTCTATACATTTTGAAGTCATTTTTTTAATAAGATAATTAGGTATAGTTTAAGTTTTGTCCAACTCTAATTTTTTTCTGATAATTTTAAAATATATAATTTTTCGCACTGATGTTTTAATTAGAAGCATTCAGATTCTTTCTTTTTCCGACATATATACATTATTGAGGTCTGGATCATGTGTTAAAAGAAAACAAAAAAAAAAAAATGAAAAAGCTAATGAATGGTAATTGTAAGAGCTTGGTGAAAGGTAATGATAGGCTAGAAATGTTTTCAGTAATTGGCAAAGAAATTGCTGAAAATTCAAGTTGAACATAGTCTCCGGGTCACTATCGGTTTGGGTTATGTTTTTCCTAATTTGAGTGCTGTGCCTGGCTGGCTGCCGATAATTTCCATAGACATGAAACAAAGGATAACGTTTGTTATTGGTTCCAAGTGGCTCCAATTATGTGCAAAGCAAATGCAATTAGTCATTCCACGACTTGGCATGATGTAACATCAAAGTAATACATCCCTAAAGAAGTTATCCTTCCATTACAGATTTCAACATCGGGGTCGGCTTTTGTATCTGGCAATTCTCCACTTGCATCGTCCATTATTAACCTTTCAATTGGTCCAACATGCTTGAATAATCAAAATTTATCCTTATACAAAGAATAAAAAGATATCGTCCATTATTAACCTTTTAATTTGTCCAACATGGTTTTATCTGATAGTTATCATATCAGCAACACTTTCTTTGTTTATATCTAATGATGACTGTCTAATCTTTTACAATTAAGGCATGAAATTGCTATAAGCTTTTTCTTAGTATAGAAAAGATTTTTACACTTAAAGCATTAGTTTATTAAATATAAAAAGAAACAATGTATTATTTAATTGATCAAATACTTAAACGCATAATATCTTTCTCAGTTAAGTAAATAAAGATTGAAGAGTTAAAGATAAATTAATTATTAAAAAAAAAAAAAAAGCTCAGCTTGCAAATTTTGTGATTAAGTAAATACAGTTCAGAATTTTTTTTAATATATGCTTTTCTTTTTCTTGTGATTGTCAATTTCTAACCAAAATAATTGCAAAGAGAGTTAATTAAGTATTTGAAGTCTACCAATATTTGGCAGACTTATGTGCAGGATTCAGGATTTGTGTTCGTCAATTTGTTTTCAAATGAAATCTGCTTTCTCTTCAATGGCAACCATATTGATCCGCACTTGTGATCAGGATTTGTGTCATGGAAACTGCACCAAGAAATTAATATGAAAATTAAAAAAAAACAAAAAAACAAAAAAAAAGGCATTACATAAGGGCTAAGAGCAAATTGGAAGGGGAAAAATCAAGCCGGAATCATAATTAACTAACCTCACTCAATAACAAAATTGTTTAATGGAACCCTAGATTAACTGTCACTCAAGTAATTAAGTAAAAAAAAAATGCTTGATTTTTCATTCTAAAGCCAAAAAGTAACCTGCAAAAAAAAAAAAGCTAGAAAAATTTAGGTAAAATTCCTTAGCACTGATGGATATGATGCTAACCCTTACACCTTGGCAAAACCCTTGCACGTAGTATTCCAAGCATATAGCGCAATTTCCAAGATCCAAAGAGATGACAGAATAACAAGGCGGCATTGATTCTCCGTATACAAGGACAGGAATGGATGCGAGTTCGACCTCTATAGATGGTTTTGGCTGGGTGGGATTTTCGTCAGAAGAGTGGTTTGATCGGTGAAAGCATTTGTAGATTAGGAAAACGATGAGACAAAGACTTACTGTTGCAGCCATGATTGTGAACATAATGCGCTCTACTGTTATGTTTCTCTAATGGTCATTGTCAGTTGGATATGATCTCTCAGGAGAAGCCTGTGACTTATGTGACTCAAATTTTTGTCTGGCTTCATTTTGCTTGTTCAGAGAGGATCAATGAAGGGGATCGACTGAGAGAAACGAGGAAGATGAATTGCTGTTAGCCTCCAAGAAGTAAAATCCTCCCGTAGATTTTATGGTTTTTGGCGAGTGATAACTGATAAGCATCGGCAAAATGTGAGGTTGAGGTGGAAGAAAGGTAGCAGTAATCTTTCGAAATTGTTACTCCCTATAATCTGTATGGTAAATGATTTAGCCATAGTTGTTTCCTGGAAACAACACATTAGTCTTATTATGGAAAATTACCCAAACTATGATTAACATGCATGCGGCCATTTGAATTTGTTTGTATTCTGTACCAATTACTATTACTTTCCTCTAGACTGCTCTTGTGATTTGCTTGGCATTGGTTTACCATTAAATGGATGTTTGCTTTAGTTCTCTTTTAACTTCTTGTTGCATCGTTTGGTTCAATTATCCTTTCATTCCCAAAGAAGATGCTCACTTGGTTCAACTATCGCTATGTTAGTTTATTGGGCCTGTGGATGAGGTTCAACTTCGTTTTCTGAGATAATTGAAACCCAGTTAGAATTTTGGGCCTTTGGGTGGGCTTTTGCTAGTAAATCAGACATGACATTTGGAGCCAATTAAAAAAAGTCAAAGGATCCTACCAAAATTATGGTGGTCTACGAACCACTTGAAAATCTGTCTGTTAAGTGAATTGAATTAAATCCGACCTCCCCTGGAACAGGATCGGCACGTGGTCGGAACTGGTGGAGAACCAAAGTACAGTGGGCAGAGTAGTGACAATAAGAGGTGAATAAATTCGGATGCACCATATTTTCATTGATAAAATTATTTTATAGTCACATATTACAAATTTGAAGGGTACAAACAAGAAATACCCAACCAAAGAATGATACCATATTCAATCCAAGAGAGCCAACATCAACTCCTATGGACCTCTCACTGCAGTGAATTCACAAAAGCAGATGGCATCAAGAAATACTAAAGGCAAAAAGGGTCCCTAGAATGCTGATGGAGACATGTGGATGGATGCATGGTTGGGATCCATTACAAATACCAAGCCAGCAAAATCTGGAAAAATGCTCCGTTGTTCTTGCTTTCTTTTTTGTCTCTCCAGTTGTCAAACCTCAAAAATTCAATTCTAAACTATAACTTCCGAGTATTCCCCTGACCAGATGGACTTGGTACTTTCCGTGATCCCATGCTTGCAGTTCGTAAAAGTCTGCGAAATTCTGAAAGGCTTATTTTTCCATCTTTATCGATGTCGGCCTCCTCAAGCAAAGGGTCAATGGAACCTCTTAAGCCCGTGTGCTGCAAGACAATTGCACAACTGTGAAGAAGGGAACATAATTATGGCACTAGTAGCTTTCTTTGTAAAAAAGTTTAGATGGAAAAACACTATTGACAGCAATAACATAGGCCCCTTGGGGTACTAGGACACCCCAAACACGTGAATTCAGAAGAAAAATGATCAACAGGAAACAAAATTCACCATTCTAAGTTCCTCTGGAGTTATAAACCCATCTCTATCTACATCAAATTTCTCAAAAGCAGCCTGTGACCGCAGCTGCCATTTATCAGAATCATGTTCTTCCATTTGATTCACATGTAGAGCTGCCGCAACAAACTCGGTGAAATCAACTAGCCCATCTGTGTTGCTATCAATCTGCAATCAAAGAAAATAAATAATTCCACAAGAGGAAATACTATTTACAAGAGAGGGGAAAAAGAATGACATTCAGATGAAGAACAGGAAAACTTTACTCACTGCTTGAAGAATTTCAAGGACACGTGATTCCTTCAGCTTCCAAGGAAGATCTTTAGCAAGGGCCTGCACTGAAACCATCCTCATTAGGACAAAATCCAAGAAGCTCTGTGCAACCTCATAGATTTTAGGTATGATAGAAATGTTTACCTGTCTCATCTCTTCAAGACTAATAGAACCATTCCTATCCACATCAATTGCATCAAACTGATCCCGGAGATCAGCTATCTCCTCTTCATTAAGTGTGCTAGCCAACGCCTACAAGGTAAAAATAATTATATATAAAGAGACGAGCAATGAAAGGAGGGAACAGTTATAATAATAATTATTATATGCCAATAAAATAATCCACTAATGTTTCAAGAGGAAGGAAAACTACGTTACCCTCAGAGCAAACTGCTTCAATCGACTATACTTAACAAATTTCCGCAGGTTTTTGAGAACAGATATATCAACAGGAATCTCAGATGCACTTCCTCCTTCTCTAACCCATGGGTGTGCTGGAGAAGTTGAAATCAATCAGATATTCTAGAAATAAAAGGAGGATAAAATGACAATGCAATAGAAGATCTATTTTAGTAGCTAATAGCAAACTTGACACGTAAACAAAAATTTACTAAGAAATGATGTAAACATATACATAGCGCCTGAGCAGCTGTCAATCTAGCCCGAGGATCCTTCACCAATAACTTCTTCACAAAGTCTTTAGCACTATTGCTAATTGTTGGCCATGGTTTACGACGAAAATCAGGCTTGTTCTTCAAAACCTGAAATTATAGGCAGTTGCATATGAATTCTCCAGAAAATAAATGCAATAAATAAATAAAAACAGAAAATAACACATCTTAGACACACATTGCAAAGTGAATTTCATAAGGAAAAGCATGATTATTCAGGGAAAACGAAAGACAGCTAAGGTAACTTGGAAGGTGAACCTATACATAACTAAAGCATAAAGGATTAAATGGAGAGCAAAGGTTTCCACAAGTATGGTCATCAGTTCATATGAAATGCACTTGGTGCAGAAACAATTCTGTCTACAGCTGATAATAATAAAATAAAATGAATAAACCCTATAAAAGGAATGAAAAAAAATCAAGATCCGTGATTTGACAATGTACTACACCTCCTTAAATATACCATCCTCAGTCTTATCCCAAAAAGGCCGCTTCCCACAGAGCAAAATGTAGGTAATTACACCAATACTCCATACATCTGATTCAGGCCCTGACCTTCTTTTTAATACTTCAGGAGCAACATAGTAGGCACTTCCAACAATATCTCGAAACCTCTTCCCTGCATGTAGTCATAGTTTAGGATTGTATGACTTGAATGTTTGTGGTATGAGGATTATAACACTAGCAAGTTGAAGAGAAAGTAAGTAAAACAACAAGAAATGGAAAAATCAAAATACACAATAGATGGATTAATGGATCCAGTAGTTTTAAAAACCATAGTTATTTCATGAGCAATGACAAAATCTCTACATGAAGCAAATGCAACTCACCAGGTATGATAAAGTCTGACAAACCAAAATCTGTAGCCTTCAGAGGTGAGTTCTCTCTGGTTGACTTAAATAGGAAATTCTACAGACAAGAAACAGCAAGGGAACCATAAGTAAGCAGCATGTCTCCCTCAAGAGGAAGTTTACAAGTAAGCCATGTTAATGTAATCAAGCATACCTCAGGTTTCATGTCACGGTGCACCAAGCCACGCAAATGACACTCAGCAGCAACTTTGAGCATCTGCCGTACAACTACTGCTGCATCTTTTTCACTATAGCGGCTGCCCTTTCTGCAAAGATGACAAGCATGTGTTACTACTGGTTGTGACACTATTGAAAACATCAACAGAAAGAAAGTACTAAGTACAATATTTGGACCATAAATACATGTTATTTAGCAGTAACAGTGTTCCAAAATTAATTAACCAAGCATCCTTACTTGGCCAAAAGCCGGTCCAGCAGTTCTCCACCCTCACATAACCTAGCATCAGACAGAGCCAACACGTAACAGAGTCAAGATATAGAATGATTGATATGAAAGCATATAAGTGCAGGCCAAGGCAAAAGATGTGTCACGAGGGGGAAAAAAAAACTATTTTGGGTAAAAGTGAACATCAGAAGACAAGAAAAAGGAAATGACACTATTAAGAGAAAATCAGAACTGAATGAACCGCCAGAAAAGGAGATAAAAATTAATAAAACTTACTCCATAACAATGTATACATAGGAATCATCCTCAAATGCATTATAAAACTGAACCACATTCTCATGGCCTTTCAGGGCTTCCAATATCTTGACCTCTCGCTTGACATCCTCAACAGCAATAGGAAGAACCATCTGCACCCAACCCAAGGGATTTAAAAAAAGAAAAAGAAATAAATAGTCCCATTTCAAAATGGAAAAGAAAAGAATCTAATGCATCTAGATTGTTTTATCAGCCAAACACTTAAACCTTATACATGATGCCTCTATGGTAATGGCAGAAGTATATATTGTACAACAACATAGGAAAACAAAAAAGCCTCTCACTTGCCTAACCTCCTTTAGATTACTGAGTTCAGGAAATTAAGCGATTTGTTATCAAGCTTGAAAGTTTAGCAGGCAATAAAGAAATGAAAATTGCCAACACTGGAACACTTTTCTCGCTCAAAGGAACACGGTTCCTTTTAGGAACTGTTTATAAAATTTGGCATTCGGAGATGAAAATAAAACAATGCAATATCCCACCATGAAAGCAAAGCCAAAGTGAGATCAAAGTTATTAACGTTAGAATAGTTAATTTCGAGAAACTACATCATCTTCTATTCAACCTTCCCACTTTGCTTCTATCGAATTCATTGTCAGTTCCAACTACAAAATATATGCAGATTATAGGTTGCAGCTTCACATTGAAACTTCAAATTCAATTATGGTGACAATGAAATTCAATTACTGCAAACTTGTATTCAGAAATTGCTATGACGCAAGTTTGCCATACCAAGACCTTAAAACTGTAATAAGATCGTCAAGCCGAAGAAGAATAGATCCAAAATCCTAATAGCTCAACGAGGTTATTGCGGACGCCCCACCAAAATTTTCCATATTTGTGATAATGATGCTTATAATTAAAACCAACCAGAAGGGTTAAAAGAAAAATCTCCACATTAGATTATAAAACAGAGAAGAGAAAGGTTCCCATAACCATGCTTCATATTCAAGATAAAGTAAATTAATATAGAAAATAACCAATAAGGAATGAAATTCCCTCACCCCCACCATTATCAAAGCTTCCAATCCAAATTAACCCTACAAATTCCCACCTTTATGTTATCAGACAAAAAAAATCCCACCATTTTTGCCCAAAAAAATTTCCACCTTGAATATGATAGACAACGAAGATAACCAAAAAGAAAAGTGAATCGAAATAATCCCAAGAACCCAGAAGCACAATCAAGCAAATGATTATAAAAACATTTTTAAAAAATACCTTATTTTTCTCAATTTTCTTAACTGCAACACGATCCCCATTTGCCTTGTCTGTGGCAACATAGGTGTAACCAAATTGCCCATGTCCCAACAATTTCCCAATTGTGTAACGCTGATCAAAATCCTTATGGTACCCAAAATCCGTACGTTTGCCATATGGGATGATCCCACTTTGTCTCCTCGTACTTTGTTTCCCTTTGACCTTTAAAGGCTGAGAACTCTTCCCCTGTTGTTGTTGCTGCTGCTGCTGAACCTGTCGATCATTTGGCTTTCGAGACGCCTTCTTCTCATTGGTTGTTGTTGTGGTGGCGGAGGATTGTTGTTCTTTGCGATGGTTGGCGTTGGCGTTGGCGTTGGCGTTGCTGCTTGAGCCACTGACTTTGGTGGTGGAGAGACAGATTCCCATGATTAGAAGAAGAGGATACTAAAGGAATGAGTTTTAGAGACAGAATTCCATAAGAAAAGAAAAGGAGTAACGAAATAAATAGCAAAAAATTAAATGATTAAGCCCCCAAAGAGAAAGAAAAGGGGAGGAAATGAGAGAGGAAACACGGAAGGAAGAAGGGCAGAAGGAAAGGGCCTGGGAAGAAAGGCTGGTGCTGCTGCTATGGTCAAACGAGATTATTTATTTATTTATGAGTTAATAATATTTTAAATTAATGACCAAAACAAAATAAAAAATAAAACAATGTGATTTTATTTTCATTGTAGTTTGGTTGTTGGTTTTCCGTTTCCCCAACAGAATCGTCTGTCTGATTGATTGACAACATTTGATTCCAGTACCTAAACTAACTGCTTATATCTATTAATATCTAGATACTGTCAAGTTTTTTAAATTTCACCTTTTAGCTTTAGTAACTGAAATTATTTTATCATCTGTCTCATCTCTTATATTTATGTCTTGTTACTAAATAAAATTACCATTTCTGATTTTGGGATTTAAGTTGGTAATCTATTCTTATCTTTCTTAAGTAAAATTTATTGGAAGTAATTTCTTAAGGGAAAAATATTGGAGAATATAATTTAAAAAAGAAGTTATATGATGAAGTTTTTGCTATTTTTAAATCTAGTACATAAGTTTGACCTTTTCTCTTTTTGGCCAAGACAAAGCATTGACTTTATAAGACCTTAGATTAGCTCTCATCCTATATTAGGGGTGGAGTAAGGTTTATAGGCACGGGGAAAAATTTTAAAATAGCAAATCAAATTGAATGATTCAATTTGGATAAAATTTCTTCTTATTTGATTCCATTTTGATTGGAATATTAAATAATTTAATTTAATTTGAATTAATTTATGAATAATTTGATAAATTATTCTAATTGGTTTGTGAATGAGAGCATTAACAATGAAAAATGTAAAAGCCAATGTCCCTAAGCTTTTGGTTTAATGATTAAAGCTGTTTGAAAGGACATCAAAAGTCTAGTTTCGAATTAAACCTTCCCCTTCTCCTTTACTTCTATTAAAGCTTTGTTTTCTTGATATAACAAAAAAAAAAAATATGAAAACCAAAAACCCTGATTTATTATTGTTGATGCTCTCATTCCCCCCACCTCCGTCATTCAATATATATCCCTAAAACAATTGCATATGAATACGCACCCAACATTCAATAAAATAATGAAGGATAGCAACATACAAACTTAAAGGATATTAACATCGGCAAGCTTCTAGTGTTAAAGATTATTTGGTTCATACTAGTCAAATAAGCATCAAAAGACATAGCTACTACTAGAACCAAATTTTCTTTTTTTCAATATTAAATGGGTTACACATTAAAATTACTTTTAAAATATCCTCTTATTAAGAAGATAGGGGTCTAATATAATGATCTAAAGATTAGTCAATTATCTATTGCAAATCTAAACACATTTTTTTTGCATAAAAATTTAGATTAGAGGAAGCTATCTTATTTTAAAGTCAAGGTATATTGCAAATGTCTACAATATAGCCTACATTAAGGGAGATTACTGGTAACGAAAATTGAACCTTAACCTTATAAGAGAAGTACTTTATCTTACTAAGAAACTTTACATGAAGTTTCTTGTTTCACATTTGAAAGAAAAAGGCAAATAAAGCATAAATCAAAACCAATTAATTATTACTACAAACAAAGAAAAAAAATGAAGAAGAAAACAAAAAGTCTAAGATTGTTGTATGTTACGAAGTTGTCGGTGTGTCAAAATATGTTAGTCAAAACTCTCCACGTCTAATTGTATAGCACCATTCATCACCAAAATGCAGCTGCCTCCGTCTTTGATAAGTTTCATAGTATATGATCCGTCCGTATTAATATTACCTGTCTTCCCTGATAATCTCTCGCTCTCCCAAGAACTTTCACCTTCCTGGAAAATGACAAAAATTAATCAGTCATAACCAGGGGAGAAAGTTGTATGAGTTCTTAGTTGATCCTTGCTTGGGATTTTAGTCGAAGTTTCCCAGGCATTGAATTTGAATCCAATTTCTTAATCATAATGACAGAGCGAAAAAGAAATAGTAGTAGTTGGAAAGATTTTATATAGTCATTAGTGTTTTTCGATCAGTTCTTTTAGGTCATTCAACTGTTTAACGTGTTGAAATAACACTCGGTAGCTTTCAATCTCAAGTCATAATCTCCATTTTCAAAAGCAGTGAAAAGAAACCACTCTCTGACTTTTCAACCTATGACAATCGCAAACTTGTGAAAATCTTTGAGTTCTCAAGTGTGAAACGATCTATGTGAATGATATCGAGTTCAAAAAAGAGCGTGGAAAAGACCATCTATTGTCACACACCAAAACCCTTGTATACATGGTGATCAGGAAAAATTAACTCAAATTAAAAACGAGTATTTGATAAAACTAATAATTCTAGTTAAAGGGCTTTAAACAAGCATGTTTAGAAACTCATTTGATCATCATATATATAAGATCGCTGAACACAAAAAATACCAATGGTGGAATTGCCATCATTCATACTTCCAGGATCTGCAGAATCAAGACGCTATTTGGCCTGTATTGAGATCAAAGCCTACAGTATTTGTCCATAATGATGCTCAACCGAAAGACATACAAAACCATAACAGTTAGAGGTGTCGGAGTTTTATACACCGAAACACGATCAAGTTCGTAAAGCTCCTAGAATAATTTCTACACACAATTTCATGGTAATTAATTGGTTGACTTTTATTGCATGCAAGGCAAAATACAAGGCAGGTTTCATGTTGGGGGATCTCAAGAATTCAGAAGTCAGAGATGACCTGGTCTTCGGATAAATATATATTATGAAGAAATTATAATCTTAGTGGTGCAAAATAAGCTCATATAATATATATATATATATGTGATTTGGGAGAGGCATATGCCATCAATATCTAAATGAAAATATTGTTTAGATATTGTGAAACTTCGTGAGGAACACGTTACTATAGCACAAGTTTATTAAACAAGTTTTATTTATGGTATAAACTGATAAACCATCCCTTTCTTTCTTTGTTTAGTTTATTATAATTTAGCATTCCCACTGTCGTTTTTTATATAAGGAGATATACACGTCTTGGTCCAACGGATATCTAGTTGTGTCGTGTTGGTATTCCTAAGTATATCCGACATAAAAAAAACATACAAAATCACTTGTTTTTTTTTTTTTTTTAATTATCACATTCATTGGTATTAGAGTTTTTAAATTTTATTATCATGATTAATAGAGTGATATATATATTTTAAAGTATAATAAAAAAATAAAAATTAAATTTTAAAAAAATGAAGCATGTAACAGTTTTTTAATTTTACTTTTGAAGTTAAAAGATAATAATCATAATAATATTGTATAAAAATAAATTCCTTTTTAATTCAAAAAAAATTCAAATTTTATTACGTGTGAGAAAAATAGATATATTAATCACTTTTGAATTATATATTTGGATGCAAAAAATTACTATTATAATCGTAATAATATTTTTAGTTTTGTTAAATTATTAAAATTTCAATTTGAAGTTTTCCAATCCAGATCATGGAATGAAAGGAATTAATGTAGATTTCATGTGTTGCTTGTTTTAATTTGTCCGAAAAAGACACTAAGGAGAAAACAGAAAACTCTTGTGAAGAAACGTTAGAAAAGGGATGATGACTTGACCCAACTGATAATCACTTGGAAGGACACGATGAACATGTGCCATTTTTCTCATAACAAGGATAAGATATATATACAGTTATATCATAATGTGTTTCTATAGCAAATGCGACCATTCTAGTTTTGGGGTTGCAGTCCATTCTTCTTTACTGTTGTTAGAGCTCTGATAAATGCATGGGTTTCTTAATTCAAAAACGTGTTTGAATCTCTTATTTTCCAGATTTTTTTAAGAAAAGAGAGTCAGTTAGAATGGGTAAAAAATATCCAACAAGAGGTCTTCCAATTTCCATTTTTTTAATATAAAAAGTTATCCAATAATTGATGCTAAGGGGGACTTTGAAATTTCTTCTGCAAGCTTCTAAAAGACTTGGTCATAAAGGAGTATTTAGCAACGATTTCCCACCAACTATGAGTGACAAATGCAAAAAGATTAGTGGATTTAGTGAAAGCCTAGAAAACGACATCTTCCTTCACTCACTCTATGGACAAACTATAAGTGATGAATTACGGAAACTTCTCAAAAATCTTATCACTTTGTTTTCTCAAGCAAAACGACATGTGAATGTGATCAATCTTCAAAATCAATTAATTCTCTCCCATTATCATCAATTCATCATGAAGCTTTTCATTGTATGATATATATGGCCAGTACTGATTTGTATGTCTTGGTTTGGCTCATGTGTTAGACCTTATTGGAAATTAAAGGTGAAATGTTGGCTTTGGGTCATTTTCCTTCTTTGACGTCGATTCATCAAGCCACGTTTTTGCGCCCATAGTTTTATCATACCTGTAAGTAAATCCAGTTGTTGCGGAAACGTATTTTTCTTCTTAAAATGCAAAGTTGATTGACAAGTTATACCGGAACGTTTTTGTCTGCAAACTTGCCTTGTAATAAACAAATGTAACTTGTGAAGGAAATGGAATATCTTTGACACATGAAAAATATCTTAGTAATTTAGAATGTGATGCATCTCATATTGAATATAGAAAGATTTAATTATTGATAAATAAATTTATTTTTTATATTAAGTTTATTCATATTTTAAATAATTATGTTTGAATAAAATTAATTATTATATGACAAATAGTCATAACTATTTAAGTATAAATAGATTATTATTTATAAAAGTCATGATTATACAAAAAGTCATAATCATCTGAATAGAAATTTATATTTATTTATTTATTATAAATAAATCTTTCAGTATAACTAATAAAAATTTATATCTGTTCATTTATTATAAATAAATCTTTCAGTATGACTATTTTTACTACTTCGAATTGGAGAGTTTGAGGTGTTGTTGTATTCTAAAGGCATACTTGACTTCAAAAAAGTGTTCTTCACACCTTAAAGCCAAAATTTTTTTATATTATTTCTCTTCTCTTATTTATTTTTTTAACAATTTAAAGGTAATTATAAGAAATTTATATTTTGCACAATGAAGATATAAGAAAAAGAAATTGACATGAT